ATGGAAAGAGAGATAAAACGTAAACTCAATCTGTACCTTATTATTCAAAAACAAAAACTTTCCTAGAAGTCCTTGTCCTGACTAAGGCTAGGCCTACACTACGGGGGGGGGGGGGGGGGGGTGTCGACCTAAGATACGCAACTTCAGCTACGTGAATAGCGTAGCTGAAGTTGCGTATTTTAGGTCGACTTACCTGGCTGTGAGGATGGCAGCGAGTTGACCGCTGCCGCGCCGCCGTCGACTCCGCTTCCGCCTCTTGCTGCGATGGATTTCCGGAGTCGACGGCAGAGCCATTGGGGATCGATTTTATCACGTCTTCACTAGACGTGATAAGTCGATCCCCAATAGATCGATTGCTACCCGCCGATCCGGCGGGTAGTGAAGACGTGTCCCTAAGAAATCATTCAGTCTGACTTATACATCAGATTTTAGCAGTACATTTTCCTACACAGAAAAGTAACTGCCATACCATAGACTGATTTTTCTATAATGAAGAGAAGAAATTCATTTCCAAACAGAAGTTTACCCTGAAGGCCAAAGTCCACCAAGTGGGTATCATTATTAGGTACTTTTCTTACATTACCTAGGAAAAGTAATGCTTTAAAATATAGTGTCTTCTATGCTGTTCTGCCTTTGTATTTGGACTCCTGAGCTTGTGACCAAGAATTGCAGAAGCAGTTTTATATTGCACTTTCTTTAGGGAGAAAAATTACGGGGTGGGCCTAGTGCTTTATTTAGAACACTCAAACTATTAACATATTTGCACCAGTAGGTTTTCCATTAAGGAAAACTGCACCTGTTTTGCTCACTCCTGGAAGCCAATTCTACAATCCATACAGACAAAACACCTACAGACTTCAATGGGAATTTTCTCCCAGTAAAGGCTGTAAGAGTAAGTATCATCAGGCTAAATGTTCACAAGATAAGAATTGCCTGTCATCACAAATAAAGTGTGAAGTCTTAAGTTTTTGTAATTGGTATTTCTCAGTGTGGTCCTAGAGGTGTCAATCCTGCCTTAAAGTATAGTCATTTTTACACTAGCACACAGTATGAGAGACAGCAAACCAGTTTCTAAATTGGTTTCAATATTTGGAAGCTATTTCCAGGAACAATTCTCCAAATAAGCCGGAGAGCACATGTAATGGTGATAGTCTAGAATGGGAGCCAAACACATGTGCAGAGTCAGCCCCCAGGTATCTGACAGCTACAAGCCTCCAGATACCTGAGGATTGTGTCTGCTTTCTGGTAAACTAAGGGTCAGGGGGAGGAGGAACGGGAGAGAGAGAGAATAAGCAGACAGTTTCAGACTTTTTAAACATCTGCTCTCCTATCAGTCCAAAAATCCACATAATGGGCTAGATTTTGGCAGGGTGGGCGGGGGCTATGGTTATGAGTTATGTTTTCCAATGGATGGCAGGGCACTGGGTCTCTGAGCATCTGCTATAACACTGAAATGGACAAATCCTACATTTTCTGCCCCACACACTGTGCTGGGATGTAGCATCAATAGTTGCAATAATATTTTTTCACAGTGTAAGCTACAGCCCTGTACAAAAGCACAGACACAGCCGTGTAAAGTACACTGACTGAACGAGTGAGGAAACACCGTCCTGAAGCCTGGATGCTTATCCGAATCTAGAGGGCCCCATTAGGTCCACACAGTTATCCCTAACTATGGTGTTAGTCAGTAGGCGTGCTACTTTGCTTCTGGTATCATGAGGTATTATTTTGTCTAAATATCAGCAGTTTTTCAAGACTGTAAAGTTACTAAAGCAAAAGGCTTAGTCTGTCCCTCAACAAGGGACTTATTGTTTTAGCAAGGTGGCTGTCTCCAGGACTTTCAAAAAATGAAAGCTGCAGTTTATTTGTGGTGATTAGCGTATCTTATCCTGTGAACCCTCTCACACAGTGGGCTGAGCAAAATGACTACTTTTACTTAGAAGAAGGAGAATGTGGGCTGTTGCTGTTCATTATCTGTTCAGAGTTGCAATGCCAGTTAGAATAGATCCAGGCTAATGCAGTTTTCCCTGCCTGCAATGGTTCCCTTCCGAAGCCTCCCTAAGGGCTATAGTGGAGGTCTATCCACACACTTGGAAACATTGTATTAATCTAAAATATATAGAATTCATATGCTAAAGCCATGCAAAATCTTATTTTTATATCATTTGGCATTTTCTTTGTGATAACTTATAAGTTATATACAACTAGTCTTATTTTAGTCATTTGTTGTACATGTATGGCCTATCTCTAGTGCAATTACAACCACGTCCCCCCTCTTTTGGTTAAAACATGTCTAAGACTCTAATACAATTTGGAAATATAGTTGTGGTCCTGCTCACAGGTTGGAATGGCCCTTTAAGGGGAATAGGCTTAGCTCCACCTATGATTAATTAGCTGCCTATCAGGGGATGGGTTTGAGGTCAGGAATCAGGTGATAGCCTGCAGATTACCTCCTCCTCAGATAAAAGATCAGAAAGCAGCTCAGCTACCGAGAGATCTGCAGGAGGCCCTGGGTGAAGGGAAAGGACTTTGAAATGGGCTAATCAGCAGGATGTGGTTTACTTGTTTGATTTAAGTTAGACTGTCTTGGTTTTGACTCATAACCCTATCCTTGAAGAAAGGAACTGAAATTTTGCTGCTGTTGGGAGCTTTATTTGATGCACTGGCTGGTGAGATGGTTTATACTACCATATGGAACCTGATTGTAACTATCCCCCGACACAGTCCCCTTTAACTATAGAGTAGACAACCCATACACATGGAAGAGATTAAAAAGTATTTAGGATTATTATATTCTGTTGAAATATTGATTTTATAACTATTAATACCACTCCAGCATGGCTCATCAGAAATAAGAACACAATGAAATAACATCAGCCAGAAACTAAAACCATTTTTGAAAACTTAAACCAATCACTTGATACATTTGTGTACATCCCATACATATCCTTGATTTCCCTAGTTTGCATATCTGTACTTAATGCCCTATTTTAAAAAATTCTACTGCTGGCAGAATTAGCCCAGTCCCCTTGCTCAGCACCTTTGGACACTGATCCAAATTTTCCCCACGGCCAAAAGCAGAATACTGTGGAGACTACTGTACATTAGCACTCCCTGGAGGGACGGATTTACAGATTTTGTTAGGTTTTACAGGTAATCACATGTAATTTGCATTATCAGCTGTCACCACTGTATAGCCCACAGTGATACATCAAGTGGACTGATGGTAGCATGCTGTGTGAGTAAACCAGCATTAACATGGAAGAGGAAGAGATTCTACCAGACTAGCAGACTGCCTGTATCTGATCAGCCTCGGAGTCAAATTTTAAAAGCATAATACATTTTAAAAAACTTATCTAGGGAACAGTCATACTATTATGAATGGTCATCCTACAGGTATGGAACTTGGACAGGCAAAAGCATAGGTGTCAAAATTCCCTATTTGGTAGGCTCTGGCCAAGGTCTCAAAAATCCATCCCAGAGAAATTTTTATGTCCCCAGTCGGTGAGTAGGAAAAGGCATGTAACGCTCTGACAGAAGGGCCATTAGGCTACCACCCTATTTATTACATTGTCTCTGGAAAATAACCACAAAAGAAATTTGTAAAACCACTTTCACCAGTGAGTGAACAGGCATTTGACACCAAACAGGAACAAGGCAGTTAATTGGTTACAAACTGGATTCATTTTTTAAAATTACTTCTTAGGATGTACATGTATAGCAGTGGTCCCCAAACTTTTGTGGGTCGTGCCCCCGTCTCTGTCTGCACCCCCCTGGAACCATGGCCAGGAGTGGAGCCACGGCTAAGGGAGGGGGACGCTGACAGGGGTATGGGGTCGAGGATGCGGCTGCAGCTGGGGGTGGGTCTGGGCCTGAGGATGGGGCCAGGGGCCAAAGCTGGGGCAGGGGCGGGACTCGGAGCGGGGCCATAGCCAGGCCACAGTGGGGGCTCAAAGCCAAGCCTGCAGCCAGATGCGGAGCCGTGCCAAGGCTGTAGACGGGATCAGGCACGGGGCCAGGAGCTGGGGCCGCAGCTGGAGTAGAGCTGTGGACGGGGCTCAGTGACCCTCCCTCCCTGCCCCCTGTGGGAGCTGGCCCAGCCTGCCACACCCCTCTCTGAATGTTCCTTGGTGCCCCACCCTAGGGGAGCATGCCCCACAGTTTGGGGACCTCTGATGTATAGGGATTAATGGGACAAACGTGGATACTGAGAGACTCTTAAAATTATGTTTCTAGATCACACTTCAGATCACCTCTGCCTTCAGGATCTGGCTCATGGCCATATCAAATTCTTATTGTGTCACTCAGCCAGGTCTGCAAAGCTGAATTTGAGTAACAAATCTAATTAATTGTATCTTCGACCATTTTCTTAGGATTTCAGCAAGTCTAGAAAATACTGTCCATTAGAGTATACATTCTACAATATGTAATGCACCCTACAGTGAAAACTAAACCAAAACGTACTATTTTAAAGTTTAGAGAGGATACTGTGAAACTGCAGTAATTCTGAAAAATGTCTGCTTCATCACTTGTGCAGCAGAACAGAAGAAAATATGCATGGCTCTTTTATGAGCTGTAGGTTACTACTTGACCCCACAAGAAACTGAAAGGCACAAGACACAAGAAGGTTGAAGGAAGATCTGACAATAACTGTTACCTTCTGATTTATTACAAGGTTCCAACTAGAAGCTATTTGCCAGGACTGGTATATTTGAATATTTACCCTCTGGATTGTCTTCATTTAGACTAAAAGATACTTATGTCCTTACTGAAAAACAACATTATTACACATACCTTGTAATTTCATAGGAGAAATACAAATATGTCTGTATATTAGATCTTGTTTTTACAATGTTTTAAAATGTGCTATAGAAATGATCAGACTACTTATATTTAATTACTATTACTGTTCTACAACAGGCTTTTTATCATCTAGGAGAGAATAAACAGTATCATTTACAATAAATATATTTCAAGTTAAAAGATATTGTACCTAAATTTAACACTGTAATAGGATCTCCAAGATTAATTCCATTTTATATATTGCAGCAAAAATAACATTTCTAGTAGGAAGGAATTACTTATAAACCTAGCAAGATCTAGACATTCACATATTTGTGTAAACAACTTAACAAGGTTTATTACATTTCCAGAAAGTCTCTGCTTTTACAGTAGGATTTCAGCTAAATTTTATTTTATGTACTGTGGCAAATATATAACAGTGCTTATATTCAGCTCCCTCACAAATTTAAACTGGAAAAATGGAATGCCATTATTTATCAAGCATGGCACCCTTCTCTTTGTTTCACAAGTGGCTATACCTGGGTGTAAACAAAATGTTAGAGCGAGGCATTCCGGATGAAGTGCAGATAAAGTTGGAGGATGTTTTCATGATGAACTGTGAAGGTCCTGGCAGTAAATACCTAAAAATGATTTTAAAAAAGTGGAATTTAACTGAAAAGATTACATTCAAAGGCAAAGGAGTTAGTCATTCATGTGCCTCACAATCTTGGTATGTCAGACTTTTGTACATTCACACATGGAGTACTGTGTGGCAGGCCTTTGCCTCAGACAACAAAGGAAATGGTTTAATAAATAAACATTTATTTATTATTATTATTTATTTATTATTTCAACCTATAGACAGCCATAGCAAAACTGCAGCCTACTTTGGGTCATATATTTTGCCACTGATTTCTTAATGGTAAAGATGTAAACTGCTTGCAATAGCCAGCCCTTTATGGGGGTGAAGGGGGTGGGGGAGGGGAAAGAAGACCAGTCACTTATCCAAAGCTATTTCTAACCTGTCACCCAAGGATCTCAATTAGAATAGTATTATTTTTCCCAGATTAAAAATGGGTTAAAAACTGAGACCTAAAGAGATTAACTGACCTATAAAAAGTGAAACAGTAATTCAGTGGCAAAGACAGGCAAAAAAATACATATAGTTTTGAACCCCCGTTTTCTGCTCTAATCATTTGACTATCCCTAGCTGTTTTAAATATCGGCATGCCATCACCACTATCCAAGTAATGCAAACACCCCAGATTTCTGCAATCTACTAATTCATCATTAATCAGTGACTCGGTTATTTTGTTTAAAATCAGACTAGCTAAGGATCTATTTCAGACAACATTACAAACATTCATTCATCATCAGTTGCTTAATATTCATTTTTAAATCTGTTTCTTATTACCAGTTCTTATAATTAATTGGAGGAGTCATTAGATGAGCACAAAAAACTATACAAAACATCCACATTAAATCAAAATTTCATGCGTGATGGGCAATGCCCGAACAGATTACATACACCACAGATTATATAATGTATTGTTTAAAAAGTGTAGCATCATTCTAGGGAATCATATTGATTAATGATGAGCAAGTGCATTGAAAGAGTTCTGAGGATTAATCCTACTAATCACAGGGAAAGGGGAAATGTCATGACTGTTAATAGGAAATATCTGCTCTATGAGAAAGTGTAAATGTTTGGTTTGTTTAAGCCCTGAGGAAGGCCATTATTGCCAAAGGCTAATCAATTTGCTACAAAGGGCCTGATCTTAGGGGAGGCTAAGCACCTTGTGTGTGGAGGTGCTCAGTATCTCACAGAACATCTGAGCAGTTCTGATGAAGTATGAGATGTGACATCTATGCTTGTTTGGAAAAGTTTAAGGATCTAACCAGCAAGGGGAAGAGGGGTTGGGGATGACCACATTCCTTCAAGTTTCTTTTAGAAGTGAATGTTGTTAGGATTCAAAAGGTCAGAGGCTTTTTTTTAAAAAAGCGTGTGTTACGAGATTTGAGTATCCTAACTGGAAAAGAAGTTTGGCTGTGTTTTCACAGCATTTTTACTTTTATTTTGAAGGTCTCTGAAGAAAACATAATTGATCATTTACCTTGGTATTCCCAATAATGTCTGATAACAGAGCTCTGGGACCACTAAAGTGTACAGTGAAAATTATTTTTGAAATATGTTTAACAATTTTTGAGCTTGTTCTATGCAATAAAGTTAAAATAATGACTGGTTTTCCATCAGGAACAGTGTCACTGGGAATTAGACATACAGTAATGTGTCAAGTGCCAAATACGTACAAATAGCCAATTGCAACTGGAGATGTATCTGACAAAGCTGCCAAAAAAGTGCACATAAACGTAGCCCGAAAATAGTTTCCCTCTCAAAAAAGCCCAACAGAGCTATACAAATGAAACGTTACAGAGTTATGAAAAAAAAATAGCTTTAAATGACTCTCTGCCCATATGCTGCAGTTTACAGGGTCTTACTCATACTATATCACAGTAACAGTCAACAAAAATTATTATTAGCAGTAAAAATCCTTTAATATAATTTCTTTGATAGCTTAAAAATACAAACCCAGGTGCAACGTGAAATTGTGTAGTGATTACTCTTAAGGGAAATAACGTCACTATTACCTTGTACATATTAGGGCTGGCTGGACAAATAAAAGCAAACTCAGCTGATATAAAAGGGTTTCTTTCCCATAAAGAAAATAGGAAGCCCCTTCTTTATGCAGAACATATTGGTTAGTGTAGTGTAGTGTATAAATGTAATGTTTTTTGAGATAAATGCAGACTGGTTGTAGCTTTTAATCAAAATTATCCTGACAGCTATGCTGCTACAGATATAAAAGTTACTATTTTGTAACTGCTATGCACTTATCTAAAACAGAGGGCCAGATTCTGCTCATATTTGAAATCAATGATTATACTTCCATTGAGACTTCAATAGTCACAGAAAATGGCCAAAGCAGGCCTGTTAGCTAGGCAATACAATAGAGTGATTTGATTGGTCTGAACAGTTATGGCTGGTTTTTGACTGAAAAAAATTACCTCCTGTATTAATAGTGGCAGTAAGAATTACTTTGTTTCATCTTTTTTGGATTTTACCACTCTACTATTATAAGCTCATTTGTATATGAATATTGCATATGGTTCATTTTGTGGCTAAATTACCTCTACTTTTGCTGTGAACAATCAACTTCTGTTTCCAGCTGGTATTAAATTATGTTAGAGCCCCTGAAACATTCACATGACAATAGCAGAAAGTTTAATATATCAAATAACTAGTTAAAGACATATTGCTTAAGCAATTAAGTCATACAGTAGGTTTAACTGATAATATATATTGAGTTTATTTTCTACAGGACATAGTAGTAGCTATTTTAAGGAATAAACACTGACCTTGCAGAGAACTGCATGACTTTTAAAATGAACAAACCATTTGTAGGTTTATGTACTGAATGATCCAAATTACTAGGGTAAGAGAAGCATTCAGAACATAAATCTGAAACTTACCTTTAATTCTGCATTTCAGGAACTTTATGTCACAGATCACTGGCTCCCCACTCCTAGTGATGTTTCAGTAAGAGTCAGCATGCTGACAATATTATAACTCTGCTGAAGAACTGACCCTGCCCATGGAGAGTCAGGTAAGTGCCAAAATATATTTTTTTTACTATATTGTGCTGTTTTGCAAGGTTTTAACAAAGTGTTTATACCCTTTGGCAAAAACAATAAGAAAAAACTTTCATGTCTGCAGTTTTTAGAAGTCAACTTTGCAAAACTGTGCAACACAGTAAGTCAGATGGCACTTACCTGACCATGGCCTAGAGCTATGCTCCTGGGGGATTCCATAGTGGTTGCGAAGCCAGCAGAGTCATACATGTTAGGGCACTCCTAGGAATGCAAACCAGAAATCAATTACTCTGAGGAATCTGAGAAAAGGAAGAAAGGCAAGTTTCAATTCAGTTAAGTATAGAATGCCTTTCTTACCCTGGCTATTGGGGCATTAAGCAAACAAAACTTTTAATAAGTTAGTTTCAAATAAAATGAGTATGGTAAATCTCCTCTTAACCCAGCAAGGATAATTCTTGTTGCGTTCACTACCGCACTATAGAAATCATGATGACAGGAAGTAGGGCTGGAAGGAAATGCTCATCCTTTATGTTGCAGACAGTGAACTAGTTCTTGTAGCTTTTTCCTAGGCCTAGAGCAGTGGATCTCTACCTGTTTACCATTGTGGGTGCATATGCCGCTCTCTCTTTGCTATATGGGCCACATCCACACAATATATATATACACTTGTATGGCACTGAGGAGGTCACATGGGCTGTAGCTGTGTGCAGGCTGGGCCACAAGCAGCCCATGGGCCGCAGGTTGAGACCACTAGCCTAGAGGGAAGTATACGCATATAATTTAAAATCTGATCATACATTCCAATATGTCTCATAATTAGAAATAGGAAAGTGTATACCTTGTATCATCCCAGTCAGGGCTAATTCCAGTAAGAGATCCTCTTGAATCTGCTGAATATTTGTAAGCCACCAGCAGGCAGTGTTTACAAAGCTGTACTATTCGTTGACAACACTGGAGTTGTTCAGGAGTCACCACCTCTGTCCTTTTACTGAATATGGTCTCCCAAGAACTTCTGTTGGCATGGAAACAGACATGACCTCATGTTTTCTGTTACAAATGGCAGTCTAAAAGCTTTATTACTGCACCTGAGATTTAGCAGTGGAGGAGTAAGAGAAATAAAGTGTGACCTTGCCTGTTTACAGGAAAGGCCTATGCTATTTAACCCATATACTGACAGATGGTGGGAATATAAAATACAAATTAAGAAATTAATCTTCATATTGCAAAATGATCACAACCCATTTTTCATTCAGTATGTCCCCTAAAGCATTTATAGGACCATTGTTTAGGTTTAGCACATAAAGATTTACTGCCATGTAATTTTAAATGGTGTTCTACATCATGAGACACACAAAATACTGATTTATTTTTAACAAGCTACTATCTGAATAGTCTGTGTTGCCAAAGTAATTATATAGCATGCTAATACTTTCATTAATTAGTCATATTCAGGAGTCCATGATATTAAGCATGAAGAGAATAACAAATGATACATATGACGGTTGAATATAAATGTTCAAAATACTGTGCTGTTTCACATTTCCAAAAAATAGATAAATGGAAGCATTTCATATTTCATTTCTCTACCAGAACTATTCAAAAAGTCATGGGAAGGGAGTTTCTCGGTCTAGACCATTTGAACATTAGCACATTGCTCTAACTGGGCGGGGGAGATTGCTCTTTATCAAGTCAGAGAAGTATAATTAAAACTTTCAGTTTGTGTCTGGTAAATTTTTCCATCTGAAATAACCACACACCTGGTACTTTTGTTTCCATTAACATTTTATTTCCAAAATGGTTTAGTCCCTTCAGCTTTTCAGTGCACAGAATTTTAAGGCTACCATGCTAGTCTAACTAGGTGCATTTCACCACAGTAAGGAGGAATTAGTCCTGTGCACAGGGCTCACTCAGTATTTGTGTTTATTCACAACTTACTATATGAATATGACAAATATTCATACATGAATACTATATGAATATTCAGATATGAATACAGAGAACTATATGGGTGTCCAAAGGCAAAATTTGTACTTGAAACCCCTTTCCCTATAAAAAAATGAAAGCCCTGTATGATGGCTTAGATGGCTGGCAAGCTTGGGTTTGATTTTTTTTTTTAAATGAAATAATCATTTCATACAGTATGTGTGTCGGAGAGGTGTGGGGGGAGGGTTCCTTGCATCCCTCCTCCAGGTTCTAAGCATCCAGAGTGAAGTCTTGGCCTCAGTGATGTCAATGGTAGTTTTTTCCCAAAAACTTCAATGGAGCCAGGATTTTATCCTCCACATAGGGGTTTTGAATAAGAGTCATAAAATAGGATGTCTGTTTGGGCTTAATGAAAATTCAGGGCTGATGCTATATCAGTGCATCAACAGGAAATGTGACAAGTAAAATCTGAGGTAATTTGGGGTATATCTAATTCGCTTTTGGCATGGCACACCACCATGGAAAGGGGATACAGGAAGACAACAAGGGAAGGCCATGCTGGAGTATGCAATATTCTAAATCATGTGTGAGCCTTTATTTGAAACTTGATTTTTAATCAAACTGGTACTATCACTTTTCTAGTACTCCTTTTGATTTTGTGCAGGTAATTAAAGCAAATGTATCATTAATTAATTAGCTATGTCTAGATTATACCATACAGATACCATATATTAATACACAAGTGTTTTTTGTGCATCTGTTAAAGTCATTCTACATACACCTAATATAACTAACACAAAACCTAATGACGGGAAGGGAATGACAAGTTAAAACTACTAACAATAACTATCCTCTATTCCTTGCCCAGAGAGACACATTTTTCCTCTAGCACCCAACCACCATACACCACAGAGAATGCACCACAACTTTAACTCTGCCTTAGTAGGGAAACCAGCATCTTCTTTTAAATGAAATAATCATTTCATACAGGTATCTTCTTCCCCAAATTCCATGTGCCCACCTCTACCACAGACACACCAAACTTCGCTCCCCCAGTGTCCCTACTATTCACTTCAGGTAAAACTGCACACACCCTACGTGGAAACTATCTAGACCTTTCAGGGATCTGGTTGTGATAGGGTGAGTGAAAATAGTCTTATGTATGCAAGGTTGAAACACTGAGATGGCCACCAGATACACCCTAATGGAGCTGTGGGCTAGACCTGATTCCTTAAAGTGCAAAAGATAGGCTAAGATTCAAGCAATTCTGTTTTGAGGTGGAGATTCATTGTGGGAGGCCTCCCAGACAGACAAACACATCCACTTACTCAGGTAGGCAGATCTCATGGAAGGTCTTCTGATGTTAAGGAGCACTTTCTGGACTGCCACTGAGCAATGTGCCTCCTCTGCACTCAACCACTTATGAACCATGCCATGAGGTGCAGCACTTGATGATTCAGGTGCAGCGACTGGCCACAGCTCTGCATTATATGGTCTCTAGTTATCGATAACAGCAAAGGTTCCCAAGTGGACAGTTTTTGTGGAAGTCTGAATACCAGATTTGTCTCAACCAGACTGAAGCTATAAGGATAATAGAATCATAGAAGTGTAGGATTGGAAGGGACCTCAGTAGGTCATCTTGTCCAATCTCCTGCACTCAAGGCAGGACTAAGTAATAACTAGACCATTCCTGACAGGAGATTGTCTAACCTCGTCTTAAAAACCTACAATCATTCTAACATGAACTTACATGAGCATGAGAATGACCCTGGGAATGAGGACTGACTGAGATATCAATCTGCATTGTGGACACAGTCCTGGAGGAAGCATGGCTGGCTTCCTAGCTGCCATACCATTTGGAGTAGAGGAGCAGATACTGGCTCTGGAGAGAAGGCACGGGCTAGTACCAAACCCAAAGCTGGTGCCCCAGACTAGAGTGATCCAATGCCAATGAGCTCAGCAGCTGCACCAGGGCCAGACAAAGGTCTTCAGCCTGAAGCAAGGCATGGTCATGATAGGCACAGCATGTTCCTGATTGTGGCATAGGCCTCTGGCATAGTTAGAAGGGACATAGGCTGCTGTCTTGCAGTACTCAGAGATAACTGCTGTGTTGCAGCTGAAGAGGTAGCCAGTCTCAATGGCCTCTGGGAGGGCACCAAAATCAACAGCTCAACTCTGTCTATATGAGCCAGTACTGGGTAGTGGCAAGCCAAATGCCTCACTCTGATCTACCTTCAGTGGAGGAGTCCCATACTCTGGACTTCAAAGAGCCCAATGCAGACGACTTCTTATGTTTCTGGAGGCCTGACCTACTCTGAAGTTCCTGATCTTGAAAAAGACATCCCCCTGTTGATGGGGATCTCCTCCTGCTAATGTCTGTGGGAAAGATAACGGAGCACTTTGGGAAAGAGCCACCAAAGAACTTCCCTTGGATGACTGAGCGGGATCTGATGCCAGTCTAAAGGCAGCCTCCAGAAGGATGTAACAGAGACGCTCCTCCGGCACCTTCTTTGTCATGGTTTTGAAACCATGACAAATGGAGCACTTGTCTGTAACATGACCCTCATTCCAAGCACTTCAGACAGTGTGAATGAGGGTCACTCATAGACATAGGCTCTCTGCAGTGCATGCAAGGTTTGAACCCTGGGGACCTTAGTATAGGCTCCCTTTCCTCCAAAGGCCCTCAAGACTGGAAAAAGGTACCACTAGGTACAATGCTAAGGTTTTGATCCCACACCTACAGTGTAATGGACATATGAAAGCACTTAAAGAATCAATCATATTATGGGTCAGATCCTCAGCTGGTATAAATTGACATCAAACCATTAAAGTCAATTGAAATCAATAGAGCTATGCCAATTTATGCCAGCAGAGGATCTCTCACTCTCTGAGACTGTTGCTTTTAATAATCTATTTTTCCATCTCCCTTTTCCTATCATTGTGTTGAACACAGGTAACGTTTCTTATTACATTTGTAAATGTAGTGCATGCATTCCCTGCAAGTGACAAATGAGTTATTTCCCTTTGTACATATGAAACCCATCATCATAATGTGTATATTTGTTGAAGCTCATTTTCAATAAATCTTTTTTCAGTCCTCTTTTGCAAGCTAATCAAAAACATCCCATTAGTCACCTCACTCTATATATTTACAGAGAAACTTATATGCTCTCCAGATATGGTATATATTTGTACATACATTTTTTTCCCCATAAGGAAGACTATGAAAAGGATCTTTGCCATATTTTGTTTTGTTTATATATATATATATACATATATATATATATATAGGATCTAATCCTGCAGACCTTTCTCACATGAATAGTCCTCTTGACTTCAATTGCATGAGCGTAAAGGGCTGGGGAATGGGCTGATTTAATTTTAAAAATATGGCATCTTGTTTTCCAGTAAGCATCCTTTTCAAGCCAAAAAAACCCATTTCCTTATCTATCAGTGTCACAATTTCTTACTTTTCACACGCTTACATTCTCATAATTGTTTCAGATATGTAATGAAGAGCAAATATAGTCCAATTCAGAAATTCTGCTGTATTTCTAAACCACACAACAGAAGCTGAATACTTGAGGTATAAAATGTCAGCAGGACTCTTTACTTGATTCTCCATTTTTTTTTTACACTAGGGATCAAACAGATAGGGCCATGATTTTTGTGAGTGGCCAACTCACATTAAGATTAAGTCACTGTGACTCTCTGTACCTCAAAGTAGCACCCTGGAATCCCATATTCACCATGGTAATATAATTATATGTTTTGTAAGTATACCTTGTGAGGTATTATTTTAAAAGTCTTGATCTGTTGAACATGAATATCCGGTTGGATTGTATGTGCTATCATTCTGTGAAGTTATGAAGTATTGCTATCTCTGTTACTGAAATATGTTGTGAGGTTGAGAACACCCACAACCAGCCTTTCAGTTACAACAAAATAGTAGCCAGCAATAGCCAGACAACATTAATGACTCATCAACACCCATCAATAAAATAATCCACTATCCCAGAGATTCCTTAGAGAAGGTATGTTTGCAATGGAGACTGCTTTAACCAATGGCGACTGCCTGATCCCCTCCTCACAGCAAGGATTTTTCCAGCAAACTGGAAGAAAGTATAAAAGAGGGGAAGTGACATCATGACTTGGCCTCTCTCCCACCACATCTCAACATCTGGAAGCACATCTGCAAGACAAAGAATTTGAACTGGAGAGTTTGATCACAGGCTATAAAAGGATCCAGTCTGTGTATTGAGGAACTGTAACCTCCTGCACCATCTGTCAGGGTGAGAAAAGCTATTTGATTCAATGCTTGCTTAGATTAAAAGTTTAGGATTTAGAATGTGTGTTTCTATTTTTATTTCTTAAGGTAACTATTTCTGACCTTTATGCCTACCATTTATAATCACTTAAAATCGATCTTTCTGTAATTAATAAATCTGTTTTATATTTTACCTAAGACAGCATGTTTTGGTTGAAGTGCTCGGGAAATCTCAGCTCAGATTATCAAGGGCTGTTGCACAGCCACTACCCTTTTGTCAGAGTGGCCAACTAGGTAAGGAGCTTACACTGGCCAGTCTTCTGACCAGTACCACCGAGTACAGTCCTGAGGTGCAAGGCTGCAGCTTCTCTATTGATGGTTCATGAGTGGCTGGGAGAAGCATTCATGTAACTCAGTTGGGTGTGTCCCTGCCTGTGGATGTCTGTGTAAGTGCAATAGCTTTGTAGTGTGAGGGAAACCCCAGGCTGGTGGGTTTTTGAGGCTCGGTGGTCCCACAATCCAGATAGCACCCCGGGGACCCCGTCACAGTTGCTTAAGTAGTTGGCCTGATTTTCAAAAGTGCTGAGCCAGAAAGGTCTCTCAATGAGAGCTGCAGGATGCTCAGCATTCTTGAAAAATCAAATCATTTACTTTAGATGCCTTCAGATGGATCTAAGATCCTAACTGTATGGACTCATTATTGAAATGCTTGGCCTATGTTAATAGGTAATTACATGGTACGTTTTTGATTAATGGTTTTAAAAACAGTTCTATTTATTACAATAATTTCTTGAATGAAAGTAAACAAACTATGCTAGCTCTAACTATAGCTGTGAAATTATTAAAAGGATTACAATAATAAATATATTGGGCCTACCCTGAATTACAGAAACAGTTCCACAAGCCTTGGCCACGGCTCCAGAGTAAGCGATTAAACACACGGTTAAAAATACGGTATAAATGTAAACATTCAACGTCAGAAACCCTCCAGACACGTTGCAGAACAGCACGAACACTTGTCCTCACTATGTCCAAAACCTAGAAAAGAATATTTCAAGCAAATCAAAGCATTTAAAAAATCCAGGCACATATGACAAAATCTCAAAACCAAACATCTGTCCTTTCATTACACAGAAAAAATGGTAAGAGATAATTATCATATAGCATCATCACTTCTAAATTTCAACAAGTTGTTTCATTTACTAACTCTGTTATGGCATCATTTTCCATCAAAACCATTTTGCAAAAACAAAACAAGTTTTCAAATTTATTGCATTAGTATCTCTCCCCCCACCTTTTCCAGTACTAGCAAGTAAAAAAGATTGTTAAAACAAGTAAAAAGAGAGACAGACACACACACACACAGCTGATAAGGAGCCTTGTGATTAATACCATCTTAAGCAATACTGAATACTTTAAAATTGGTTACCATGTTTAGAATACCCTCTACTTCATAAAAGAATAATCCTGAGAGGAGCTGAGCACCCACAGTCTACACTGACTTCAGTGTGAGTTGCAGGTGCTTAGCCCTGCTCAGAATCAAACCATAAGACACTAATAAGACTGGCTTTTATGCAGGAAATAGTATGTCATAGCATTGAAGAAAAATCAGCATTAAGAGACATTTGAAAAGGAAATGCTTTTTAAAAATGTGATACATTGTTAATCTGAATACTGTTTGTGGGGAGAAAAGAAAATTGGATATTTTTGCACAGTGTATAAATTGGTCTCTCAGCCTAGTATACATCTTAGCTCGATGTCTCATGTTTTTTCTTCCATGCATACATACATACACCAGTAGACTATGGAGTAGGAAGTAGCTCATTAGAACATGATACACAAGTGTATCGGAGAGCAGAATTGGGCAACTCCCATTGAATTAAATGGGAGTTGTGTATGGATATATTGGTGCAGAATTGCAGCATAGAATGTGGGCTAAATCATGGCTATTAGATACTGCCTGTAACATGTTTTCTGAGAACGTAAATGTGATTTTAGTAGTATATAGGCCAGTGGTGGGCAACCTGCGGCCCGCGGGCCTCATGTGGCCCATCAGGGTAATCTGACTGCGGACCGTGAGACATGTTGCTGACGTTGACCATCCTCAGGCATGGCTCCCGCAGCTCCCAGTAGCCACGCTTCGCCGTTCCTGGCCAGTGGGAGCTGCGGGAAGCGGCAGTCAGCAAGTTCCTGTGGCCCACCGCTTCCTGCAGCTCCCATTGGCTGGGAACAGCAAAGCGCAGCCACTGGGAACTGCGGGAGGCCATGCCTGCGGACAGTCAACATCAGCAAAACGTCTCACGGCCCGCAATCAGATTACCCTGAAGGGCCGCATGCAGCCTGCGGACCACAGGTTGCCCATCACTGATACAGGCCTTGTGCTGAACAGAGGCAAATTTCACCCAAAAGCAAAAAGACCCCAAAATGCCTACAGCATCACACAGAATAAAGACTGTTAAAGTGATTTTCTGAAAGGAGATGCCCCCACTGCTCAGCAAGTAAGATGGTATCCAAACCCTAAGATACCTGACAAGGGAGTTACCAAGCAGAGAATTTAGTCATGGTAAGATGACCTTTGTCTTTTTACTACACCAATGACCGTTGCTATTGAAGAGTCTTCTGGGCTTGGGCACATGGAGTGCATGTAGACCCACAATGAATACTTCTAGGGAGCAGCACTCAAATAAGAACTTTCAGGCACTGCACAAGGGCACAGCCATTTAGCTCCAACCATATTAATTTCCCTGTGCAGAATGAAAATGTCCTTTTCTTTTACACTAACACAACAAATCGTCTAGACGTAACAGAACAAGGGGGTGAATAAACTGAGCAGTCAAAGACAGAGTGTGCCAGCAGTGGAAACAGCAGAAATTGTGCAAGCTGAGGTAATACAGCTGCTAAATGGTCCTTGGAACACATCACTGATTGATGTTAGAGATTATGGCTATGTACAGGTGTTTGTATTTATCCAGAAAAAGAGTGGAGAAATCATTGAGAAGATATACCTGTTGGGGATAGACATTCTGAAAACCTAGCATATTTGGTGGATATTTCCTTCCCATATTCTGGAATTTCCTAGTAATCCCAGAGCGCATAGTCCGAGTTTTTGTTTTAAACTTCATATAATTGCAGAGCTGCTTTTGAACTACATACTTATACTTTCAGAAATATTCTTTAACTCTGGTTCTTTTTTTGCTTTTACCCCCGCCCCATCCCCACCCCAACCCTGCTAGAATATAAAACACTCTGCTCTCAGATCCACTAAAGCTTTGTACTCATATGTCACATTTGGAAATCCTTAGCTGCAATGTCAATCTCCAAGGTAAGCCATTTGTATAACTACTTCCCTAAGAATACCTATCTGATTGCTTGAAGGGGTTGAGGTTAAAAAGGTAGAGAAACAGAGCAAATCACTTCCCCTGCTGCCAAAATATCAAGAGCACACCAATGCTTCAGGTGGTATTAGTCTCCTAAGTCATCAAAGCTGTCGTTACATGAAGAAAGAAATCCACATTTTCAGTACTGCATTTTATATTAATGACCTAGTGTCTTATCCTGACATACTGTACATGCCCTGGGTGCCACAGAAGCATCAGTCAAAGAAAGCACAGGACCCACTAGCATGCTTTTTAAAACACCAGTTACAGGGGACAAACCAGCCACAGCTAAACTGGATGGCTGAATCTCTTATAGTAGAAGAAGAAGAAAAACCCAGAGGCTATTGAAAACTGTGTGGTCAATGAAATAGTATTCCCAGTCTGAGATACCTGTTAACATATTGGAGTGCTGACACCATATCAGGTCTAAGCACCCCCTTCACCCCACAAGAGGGGGTTGTGCCCTCTGCCAGTGTTTCCCTTCATGAAGATTCCTTCCCATTTTTTTTTTTTGAGGGATAACCTTGTTAGGATAGATGAAAGAGAATCCCCAAGATTCCGTGCAGAGAACACACATCTCTGCTGCAGCTCTGACCCCCCAGCTGATGTCCCCTCCCTCTACTTCTAGTAGCCTAGGTTCAAAAGATCTATGCTATCAAGGACTCTTCCTAGCTACAGTTGCCCCAGCGTGGAGAGTACTAGTGCACGCCTTCCTGCGCCGCTTCTGAGGGCTCCGATACGACCGGCAGCTCTTTTATCTCGATCCGAGAGGTCTTCCGCGAGACCTCTCTGGGCTGCCGATCTTCTACCAGGACCTCCTCCGGACCTGGAAACTGTTCTCAGCGACCAGGTCCGTGGCGGCCACCGGGGGGGCAGATCTCCTCACGGAGCCCCTGCTACACAACCCCAGCTTCGTGTGCAGGTGGCGGAGTCCCCCGCGGTGCGCCAGAGGTTGGTCCTGGCAGATGTCACTAGAGTCGGAGACCTCCTGGACTACAACCGGGGAGTCTGGCTGGATCCCCTGACGCTCGCTCGGCGCATGGGGCTCTCCAGGCCTTGTACTCCCCGGCGCGTACTTCAGGAGGTGAGGGCCACTTTGCCGCCCGCTGCTCAGGTCTACCTCGACCAGGTCCTGTGCGAGGGCACGCCCCGCCCACCCTCCACCCCTGGTCCTCCGGACCTTTTTATCGGGCCCCTGCCCCGTGGACCCAACCGGCCCCCCCGCCCCTTCTCCATGAGCCGGCTGCACGACTTGCAGCCAGTTCGTTTCCTGACCGCGCCAAGGAAACATCTATACACGCTCGTGCTCCACACTCTTCACTTCCTCACCCTCGTGTCCCGCCCCGATACGAAGTGGCGGGACCTCCTGCCACCTGTTGAGGGTGAGAAGCCCCGGTGGGCCAGCCTCTATTCCACCCTGGTCCCGAGGCCCGCCGGGGATATCAGCTGGCGGCGCCTTCATGGGGCCGTGAGCACGGGCGTGTACTTGGCGTGGTTTACCCGTCCCAGACACCTGTCCTTTCTGCGGCGTGAGGGAGACCCTGGCTCACGTAGAGTGTGCCAGGTTTCAGCCCCTACACCAGCTCCTCACCGACATTATGTTGCATTTTTGGTTACACTTTTCCCCTCACCTTCTCATTTATGCACTCCCTATCCGTGGCCCCACAAAGTCACGGGGCCTCCTGGTCAACTTCCTCTTGGCCCTGGCTAAACAGGCCATCTATAAAACAAGGGAGAGGAGGTTGGCCGATGGAGGTTCCTGTGACTGTGGGGCCTGTTTCCGATCCTCTGTCCATTCACGTATCCGGGCAGAGTTCCTCTGGGCGGCGTCCACTAGCTCCCTTGACACCTTTGAGGAGCAGTGGACGCTGTCCGGGGTTCTCTGCTCAGTGTCCCCGTCAGGTTCCCTTCTTTTGACCCTTTGACTGCACTCCTGTCCCTGTTTTTACATTAGTTGTCCCCCGTAATTATTTGAGTTTCAGGCCCTGTGGATCCTCCCCTTAGGCGGGGGGGGGACCCTTTAGCAGTGGGCGGGCTTACGCCCGCCCACTTCCTGAAGCCCAATAGGTACAGTTGCCCCGGGGACCTGACCTTCCCCTGCAAAAGGGATCTCCACTTCAGAGAAGACTGCAAAGTCTGGGGTCTGGGTTCCATTATCTTTTTCCTGTACACTCCACTGAAGGGAGGATAATGTGCAATCTTGTCACGACAAGGTCATACGTGGCCAGACCTAGTAGTCAGAGCCAGAGTCTGCAGTTATGAGACAGGAGTCAAGAGTCAGCTAGGTTGGGATACAGGGAGATCAGAAGCAAGAGACAATCTGAAGATCAGAACCACGAGTCAGAGACCAGAGTCAGGGCAGGTGAGGATACCAGGGAGTCACGGGCAGGAAACAAATGAAGTCAGGAACCACAAGTCAGATGTCAGGAGTCAAGCCAGGTTGGATTGCCAGAAAAATCAAGCAGGAGCAGGGTTAGGGTTGCCAACTTTCTGATTGCAGAAAACTGAACACCTTTGCCCCGCCCGCTGCCCCACCCTCACCCCTTCTCCGAGGCCCTACCCCCACTCACTCGATCCCCTCCCCCACCCTCGCTCACTTTCACCAGGTTGGGTTTAGGGGGCTGGAGTGCGGGAGGGGGTGAGGGCTCCAGCTGGGGGTGTGGGCTCCAGGGTGGGGCCAGAAATGAGGAGTTCAGGGTGCGGGAGGAGGCTCAGGGCTGGGGATTGGGTTGCGAGGGGGAGTGAGGGCTCCGGCTGGAGGTGCGAGCTCTGGTGCGGGGCCAGGAATGAGGGTATTTGGGGTGCAGGAGGGGGCTCTGGGCTAGGGCCAAGGGGTTCGGCGTGTGGGAGAGGGTGCAGTCTCTGGGAGGGAGTTTGGGTGTAGGACAGGGCTCAGGGCTGGGACACGGGATTGGGGTGTGGGGGGGGTGCAGAGTGCAGGCTCCAGGTGGCACTTACCTCAGGTGGTTCCTGGAAGGGGCTGGCATGTCTGGCTCCTAGGGGGAAGGGCCAGGGACCTCCACGCACTGCCCCGTCTGCAGGCGCCACCCCCACAGATCCCATTGGCCAGGAACCACAGCCAATGGGAGCTGCGGAGCTGTCACTTGGGGCTGGGGCAGCATGCAGAGCCCCCTGGCCACCTCTGCACCTAGGAGCCAGAGGGGGCACATGCCAGCTGCATCTGGGAGCCGGGCAGGGAGCCTGCCTTAGCCCTGCTGCGCTGCTGAACGGACTCTTAGGGTATGGCTACACTTGCAGCTGTACAGCACTGTGAGTTAAACCCACCTTCGTACAGCTGAGTAGGGAAAGCGCTGCAGTCTGTCCACACTGACAGCTGACAGCGCACTGGCGTGGCCACATTTGCAGCGTTTGCAGCTGCATGGGGAGCGGTGCATTATGGGCAGCTATCCCAGCATTCATGTGGCTGCAATGTGCTTTTCAAAAGGGGGGGGTGGAGTGTGACAGGGAGTGTGGGGGAGAGAGAGTGGGTTTTGGGGTGCTGAGAGTGTGTCAGCACCCTGCCTTGCAAGTTCCGACCCCTCTGTCCCCCCCCCGCCCCCGCTTCTCATTCACTCACTCAAAGCAAACAGCAAAATCTTTGCTTTTTCTCTCTGGTAGGGAGCTTTGAAAGGGCACTTCTGCATTCCTGGAGCAGATCACAACAATGAAAAGAGTGGCTACTTGATAAGGGGATTATCACAGGGCAGCAAGTTAACTCCTCATTCACACTGGCACCTGGGAGTTGTAGCCACTATGCTGCATCACTTATTCCTCTCGGGGAGGTGGAGTACCTGCAGGGCTGTAGCCAGGGAGACACAGCACTGTACGTGCCTTGCCAGTGTGGATGGGGAGTGAGGCACAGCGCTGTGGGCGGCTTTATTGCACTGTAACTCTCAAGTGTAGCCAAGGCCTTAATGGCGCTGACCAGTGCTGACCAGAGCCGTCAGTGTCCCTTTTTGACTGGGCGTTCCAGTCGAAAACCGGGTGCCTGGCAACCCTAAGCAGGGTGCAGGAGGCACATGTCCCACAGTTCAGAGCCCAGTTGTTTGGACAACTTCCTGTTCCTGCTGCTGGCTTACATAGGGCCAGCAGGCCAATCAGCCAATTTGGGACTCCACAACTGGACCTCACGCAGGGGCTGGGCTTTGTAAGTCTCAGGTAAGCTATTGCTCGCAGGCTGCAAGGCGGAGGGTTGGAGAGTGGCTGCTCCCATAAATCTTGCAGGCCCAGGTTTGAGACCTGTGGGTCATGACAAATCTTCCTGCTCTTCCTATAACCCACCACTCCAACTGTCAGATCAGCAGAGAGGCCTCTGCGGGTTTGGTGAAAGATGGGGAAGAGTGCTGCTGAGGCAGCTGAGCGCCCCTACTGCAAAGGATGGAGTAGGCCTATGCACTGGATCTTGGGGTAATGACCCTCCCCAGTGCATTACAAACATGTAAGAGATAATCATTAGCAAAGGTTACTCAGCAGAGGGACCAGTAGCTGTCAAATAATAAAATAATTCAGTCTCAAATCAATGGTGACTGCTACTACTACAATACATGCACTATATACTTTTTAAAAAAAATCTTTGCAGAAATGTGGATTTATGTTGCCAGTTTATATAATTGCAAAAGACCTTTAATTAAGTTCACAGCTAACCTGCATTATCAAGTTCTCATCATGTCTTTGTCTCTATACAGCTATGCCAGTTTTATAAAACTGTATGCATAAATCTTCCATCTAACGTATGAACTTGAGGTGAAATGGTCAATTACATCACATCACAATGGACAAGTTTTCTTTATAGCAGCTTGTCTGTGCCCAGATCCAGAAACAGAGCAGTAGTTTAATGTAGTATTCAGCGCTACAGAGATCAAAAAATTTGAACACGAGACTGCAGATTTTGTAGGGGCAATTTGAAATGTGGTTACAACATATTTCTCCTGTTCCTTTATAATGATGTTTCACCCTTCCTAACAACAATACATATTATATATTAAGCATTTTACTCAAAGTGCTTTCCACTGTTTTCTTAAAAAAAAAAATAGATTGGGAAACTGAGATACATAGCAGGTTAAGTGACTTGCCCAAAGTCAGACAGCAAGTTCTTTTCAAGGGCGGAAAGAAAATCCAAATCTCCTGACTCCCAGTCCAGTGATATATTGACACCATCTCACCTATTCCCAAATCAAATTTCAGCTATTTTAAGGAAAAGAGATACTGGTTTACAAAGCCGAGATTGACTAAAATATGTCCATTTTTAAAAAAATGGAGATTAAAAATGAAGCCATTAGCACACTATAAACAAGAGCAGTACCCATGTACTACTTCTGTGAACTGGAGAAAGCATGACAAGCAATACTAATCTTTCGTGGGAATAAACTATTTGGCAAAAGAAGAGGAATTATTACCAGTATTTGTAAATTCAATTGAAGATTACAACATTGTTAATCTTTGTAGCTCTACCTCCAATTCACTGCCATGTCATTAACAAGCCATCTGCTAAGATATTACACTCAAAGGGCCAAATTCAGACTCAGACAACTCAGACACCCGATAGCTATATTTACTTCTTATCTTTTGGGGGGTGGGAGAAGGAGTTTGCTTCACAGGCTTCTTTGTACTAGAAGTGACAATTCTCTATTGTTTACTGTTCTAACAATCATTTTTTCCACAGGCTCACATTATTGACCCTCCAGTTGCAAGACCTCTCTCTCCCCCACATGTTGACTTGCAACCACACATGAGCTGTGCAAGGTATACTCCAAATAACACCTGGCACTATGCATACAATTCTACACTAAGATACTAAAAAATTGGTACCCAAAATTAGGCACCTCAATCCATATGTAGGCTCCTAAACGAGTAACCATATTCTCAAGAATGGTGCACATACAACTCCTCCTACTGAACAATTACCTAACTTTAAACACCTGGTTTTGGAAATCTTATCCAATGGCCAGATTCTGAAATTAGTTCATATTTATACCAGTGTAACTAACACCATTAACTGCAATGGAATTATTCTGTATATACAGTGGTGTCACTGACATAAGAACACACACGGTGGCCCATATTCTGACATCTCAAACTTTTCCATGGCAGTCACTTCTAAGTGCATGTTCACTACTTACTAGCATTTTCAAAGGTTGAAGTGTGCATCACTCACCTTTCGTTGATTAACAGAGTCCAGTTTTATCAGCCAATATGAAGCCACATTTGTTTTATGGTATTTCCAATTATCCATAATCTGAATTAGTTGAAAAACAAAAGATAAAAACAAACATCTATAAAGAGTGGAATCTGACATTTCCAGCAAAAATATTACATTTGTAAAATACTTTAATCGTTTAAAAACAATCCCAGTATTTTGTGTAAAAAATAAATTAATTCTCTATAAGAAATGGAAGAGTGTCTTCAAATTTAGGAAAAGAGGTAATGACTTTACGGCAGATCCTGGCCCCTGTTCTACCTGATCATGCCATTCTAGCAGTGCAAGCAAAAGCACGGGGGTGGGCACAGAGTTCAATATTATATAACCATTGTTTATTCTAGTAAATATGAAGTTTTGTGCTTCATGTAGGTCATTAGATGTAACTTTAAAATACCCTTCCTAATGTATTTTTATTTTTCCTTGGTTACATCTAAATATTAATGAACTATTAACATATCTTTTAAATGTCTTGCTATTCTGCACCTTTGGCTGTATTCCAGATCAGTATCTATTAACAATTTTGCCTCAAAGTCATTTAACACACCATCACTTTGTTATCTGACCTCTTCCAACCTTGAGAGTCTTATTTTCCCAGAGAAGTTTGTTAAGTGGCCTTACAGAGGACTTTGCAATAAGGAAGCATATTGTCATGCTTAATGTTATATCAGGACATGCCACTAGATGGAGTACATTTTGAAGAAAATGTTGAAGAAGCATTTTACTTTAGTTCGAAGTCTAGAAAACAAATAGCATAGGGGGAGAAACCTATGAGTGAATTATTCCAGTTATGCCTCAGTTCCTATCCAGGCAAAACTCCCTTTGAAGGGCCAGATTCTGTGATCAGTTAGAACAGACCCAAAACTGGTAGATTTGGCTACCAGAGGATCCAGTGATGCAGAGCCACTGTTGCAGCCCCTATGTCACCCTCTTCTGAACCCACAGTATAAGGGTGTTCACAGGGGAATGGAGGCAGTTATGTGGCACTCCTTTACCTTGGTAATCACTGACTGCTGGAAAAGGCCTTGGGAATAACCGAGAGCCAGTTTGGCTCAAAGCTGGTTTAGACATTATAGGTAGATGCTTCAGAAGCATCTAAGTCACTAGGGAGCCTAAGTCCCATTGACTTTCAATAGGACTCAGGCTCCTAAATCACTGAAGTGCTTTTGAAAATTTTACCCAGTATTATCACCCAAGTGAACCAATTTCCCAGGAACAAAGCCAGAGATTTTACCCAGCCTATTTGACGCTAGGCATATGGCAATCATGTTATAGGGATTCACTTAATGTAGAAGGCAGGTTCTTCGCTAGCTATGCTGTACAGTCAATGAAGATGTTTTAAAGGAACTGTGTGGCTCAAAAAGTCTCTCAGGCTCACAGCCCCATTCCACAGCTTATCCAGGGAGAAAAGAGGAGCCTATGAAGCTGAATTTTTGCATACTTACTCACATACACCACAAATAGCAATTAGGAACAAAGGGAGCTCTCAAATTAAGGCTATAAAGGGGGCCTTTCCTATCACAGCAATTGGCATAACAGGCCTTGCGCTCCTCTTCAGTGATCAAGAATTAGGCGAGGCCCCACACATACCAGGGAATTTTGTTTTTCGGATGGCCCGTAGATAGGTCCCTACCAAATTCATGGTCCATTTTGGTCAATTTTATGGTCATAAGGTTTTTAAAATAGTAAATTTCATGATTTCACCTATTTAAATCTGAAATTTCAAGGTGTTGTAATTGTAGGGGTCCTGACCCAAAAATAAGTTGTGGAGGGCTTGCAAGGTTATTTGGGGGAGGGTTGTGGTACTGCTACCCTTACTTCTGTGCTGCTGCTGGCGGCGGCACTGCCTTCAGAGCTGGGCAGCTGGAGAGCGGCGGCGACTGCTGACCAGGAGCCCAGCTCTGAAAGCAGAGCCACTGCCAGCAGCAGCGCAGAAGGAAGGATGGCATGGTATGGCATTGCCACCTTGACTTCTGCACTGCTGCCTGCAGAGCTGGGCCCTCAGTCAGCAGCTGCCACTCTCCAGCTTCCCAGTTCTGCAGGCAGCAGCACAGAAGTAAGGGTGGCATGATATGGTATCGCCACCCTTACTTCTGCACTGCTGCTGGCGGGGCGCTGCCTTCAGAGCTGGTCGTCTGGCCAACAGTCACTGGTCTCTGGCAGCCCAGCTCTGAAGGCAGTGCAGAAGTAAAGGTGGCAATAACATGAACACCCCCTCCCCCCCCAAAATAACCTTGCAACTCCCTTTTGGGTCAGGATCCCCAGTTTGAGAAATGTTGGTCTCCCCTGTGAAATCTGTATAGTATAGGATAAAAGCACACAAAAGACTAGATTTCATGGGGGGAGACCAGATTTCATGGCCTGTGACGTGTTTTTCATGGCTGTGAATTTGATAGGGCCCTACCCATAGATTGACCAAGGTTTGTCTGACGCCTGTGCTTCTGGGTCACACACAGGAATTAAGTCCTGGAGCTATAGTCAGTAGAGCTGGTTCAAACTCAGAATTTCCATTCTGTTTGAAATTCAGAAATTTTGAAAAAGTTTTTGTTTTCAGAAGGAAAACTGGAAATTTTGAAATTTCCCCCCCAAAAAAAGTTTTAAAAAATTGTTTCAGAAATCTCTCTTTTATATGCAAGTTTGTGGGGTATCTTTGCCCTCTCAGAGAGGCTGGATTACTATATGGAGCCAGTATCAATGGCCATTCAGGATTTGCATGGCCCAGAAGGCAGTGGACATTTCCAAATGGATAGTGTCTGGAGTCAGGAAGAGCTTTGCATACATCTTCATCATAACAAAGAAAACTGCCTGTGCAGCCCCTACCAATAACAATGAAAGCTGCTCAGTTCCCCTGCAAGTGGACCCCTGATTGAACCAGGATACATTTGGTTTAATCTGCGACATGTTAACATGTGTATGTTACACCTTTGCCAGACAAAGAGCAGAACACAACATTGCTATTTACTTTTTTCATTGTTAAACTGATGTTTATTTCTTTGCTCTTCGGCATTTTCAATGTTTTTCCAATCTGCACTTTGTCTCTCCTAGTATCTCTTCATATTTCGTATATTTTCTTTTAAGATTCCCCTTTACTGTTTAGCATCAAGCACAGTATTCGTCTCTTATTCTTTCACCTCCTTTCATATTCTTCTTTGTTTCACGCCAACTACTAAGGCTCAGAAGAATGTTAGATAAAAGGAAAAGCCAAGCTGGCAAACTGAAGGAGCCAGCAAGAATGCAAATGGTATTCCTGGCACTTGTACTCAGGCTTCTACTTCACCTTATTGCAGGGACAGGCAACCTATGGCACGTGTGCCGAAGGCGGCACGCAAGCTGATTTTCAGTGGCACTCACACTGCCCGGGTCCTGGCCACCGGTCCGGAGGGCTCTGCATTTTAATTTAATTTTAAATGAAGCTTCTTAAACATTTTTAAAACCTTATTTACTTTACATACAACAAGAGTTTAGTTATATATTATAGACTTATAGAAAGAGACCTTCTAAAAATGTCAAAATGTATTACTGGCACGCGAAACCTTAAATTAGACTGAATAAACGAAGACTCGGCACACCACTTCTGAAAGGTTGCCGACCCCTGCCTTATTGCATACCTTTCTTAGTTCCTTAGCATGCCTATTCAGGGGTAGTGATAAACATGTCACAATCCGTATTCACATTCTATGAAACATAACTATTAATTAATTGTAACATTCTTCTTTGCTTACTTAAAAGTTTGAACTTTAACAGGACAAACCTCCACAATTATAAACTTAAGTTACTCAAACTTCCTAATTATAAAGGTTTGTCACATTTTAGAGAGTCCTAAGAATGATTTGTGTTGTTCTTTTAAGGTCAGGTAGAATGTAGAAATCTGAGCTTTTGGAATGCTTTGATCTATGGATTCCATGAGCTCTTAAGGCCACAGGAGCTCATGAATCATTAAATGTATATTTTATTTTCCCAAGTTCGTAGGGTCTTAATATAAAACAATAAGTGTCCTGTGATGCATCTTCCTCATTGATAGATACTTACATTTTCTATAATTAATTCTGCCTCTTCATCTGTTTTTCCTGGGAACTTGATCCTCATATCATTGAAAATGACCAGTGTCTCTCTTGTCAATGCCTCCTCTTGCTCTTTTGTTCTCTGTTGAAGCAAAGACTCATTCAAAAATTGATATGGACTTGATTTAGTATAGAGTTAGTGATTTCATGTGTATCTTTTATATGAAAGATATTTTCATGGTAAAAAAATATTTATTCCCAAACAGAGGAAAATAAATAGACTTTTAAAAAAGAATGTAAATGGTATAGGTATATAATACATACAGTTTATGTGTACATTAACATATATAAGTATTGACTAGAACTTATAAAACACTGCAAGAGAAGTGAAGTCTGAAGGTAAATTTGTTTCAGACAGATGAGCAAAATCTGCTATATATTTATGATATACCCCATTTAAAATATACAGTTGAAACACAACAAATTTAAATTTAACTATTATTTTATGTGCAAAGAGGATTCTCTATGCAGCCACTAACAAACAACCTCACAGAACTCTACCACTGCACCTCCAATATGAGCTGAGACATCCCTTGCTATCCAGTCCTGCATCTCAATTGAGCACAAGTTGCCAATCATATGAAAGAAATCATACCAAACTTCCATGCACAGGTTCCGTAAATTAAAGAGTGAAATCCTGCTAAAGTCAATAAAAGTGTTGCCATTGACTTCATGGGGGCAGGATTTCAATCTCAAGTTATGAATGTTTTTGATCAATATTGAGATGAACCTGTATGACAGATGGCTAAGATTGTCTAAGATGTTCTAGTTCCCTCAGGATGGTGCTATAGGGGCAGAATTAAGGTTGTTTGTGATAGATAGATAGATAGATAGATAGATAGATAGATAGATAGATATTTCATAACTTTGCTTTTGCATACTTCAGAACGTTTGGAGGCTTGGGATGGGGCTTGATTTTCTATTTGTTAAAAGTTGAACATTAATTTAGAATTTCCAGGCTTTCTAACATCTGTGGATTTTGAGAGAAGTACAGCCCTTATTCTCTTAGGGCTTTTCTTGGCTGAATTAAGTGATAGATACTTTAAAGCTTAACAAAATAATTTTGCCATATAATATATAATAATTTGGCTCTGAAATAAAGAAGCATCTAATGCCTCTTGTTTATTTCTATTTATAATTCTGGGTTTATAGCTCAAGTATAGGTTGTTTTTCCATATTTAGGTGCCATATCTTTATGCATTTGGTTTTTAAATCAATCTAATTAATGGTAATATAAATCACTAAAAACACTTTCTTCTCACTACTCAAATGGCTGATAAACATACACTTTCCAAATAATTTATTCTGAGCATACTAAAAAGTTATGGATGATCCTTTTTAATTTTTACTCTATCAGCAATATGCAGTATATTATACTTGGTTGCAAAAAAATCATACAGTACTGTGCATGGAACTCAGTCCATAAAGTTATAATTAAATCTTTCCCACTGCTATTCTGTAAGTAACTTTATTTGCATTATTTTAAGGAATATGACCCCAGTTTTGTCACAGAAACAAGGATATTCTGTAATACAAGATCTCTGCCAGTAGTTGAAGCTTTCTCAATGAAAAAGTAAATCTGGTTTCTTACTTATGTTTATTTAAGTGAGTAGCTCATTTTCAGTGGCATACTGTGACAGACTCATTTTAATCTCTCAGTAATTTGTATTTGATATAGATCAGAATTAATGTGAAGAGAGAAGTCTATACTAGCCCTGTAACAATAAATTCTCAGGGTATGTCTTCATGATAAAAAGGAGCTTTTTTAACCTCGAATTAGCTAATGTGAAGGGAAACATTCTTAACACTTTGTCTGTAGACACAGGTTAATACCTTTATAATCCTGTTAGCTGAATTTAAAGTTGTTAAACTGTATGTACAAAAGATGGTCAGGGATCTTTTACATCACATCAGCTAACTCAGTTTAAAAAAAGAACCTTTTTTTTTTTTTAAAGAGCCTCAGAGGCAGCAGGCAACGAGCTTTTTGCCAAATTAAATCTTTTGGTTAGGGTGAGCAAATGTTAGAAAGGTTAATTAGCATCCCAAAATAATTTCTCACAACAACAGACATTCCTCTGATGGGGAGAGCGACTGAATATGTGGACTGAAAGTGCCCATTTTAATTGACATATCTCCAAAGGATTATTTGGGGGTGATAAGATATAAAGGGGACTGGAAAACAGGAATTGAAATGGTTTAGCTACAGTACTTAATATACTCCTGAATTAATTTGGGGACAGATTTGGCATGCGTGGGGCATACAGCACATCACAGAAACCTGTAAGGAATAACGGAACTGTGAAAGGAGAAACCAAAGAGGATGATCTCAGATAGGCTGGACAGAGAGGGGAGAAATCCAACTCTAGGACTGTAAGGCTGTTACTACACTGCAACAAACCACAAAAAAAACAATGAACCTACCTATCTTAATTCCTGCCACGTGTAAAACTATATATGTGGTGAAAACTCTTTTAATCTGATCTTCCGTTTATTCTTAAATACGTCTCGTTTTTAATTAGGCCACTTGGGCTTTAAGGCTTGTCTACTTAGGGATGCATTTCAAAATGGGGAAAAGCTTTGTCTTCATGGGGGGGGGGGGGGGGAGTGTGTTTTTTACACTGAGACAGCTAATTGAAATTAGTTATCTCAATGTAAAATCCTAACAGAGACAAGGTCCTGTAGTTTTTAACTTTATATAGCTGGTTGAGGTAAATCCCAGGAGTGGATGGTATAGATTTTACCTCAGCTAGCTACATCGAGTTTAAAACTAGCTTTACCTTGTCAACTAGGTTTTTATACCAAGATAGGTTTCTCAATGTATACACATACCTCTTGTTGCAGGGAAGATATAGCCTAAGTCTTACTCATGCAAGCCCTGCTTTACTCCAATGCAATGTAGGGGATTTATACTTATGTTGAAACACCAGCATAGTTCTGCCAGTGTAAAAATTCTTAGGTAGATAAGCCCTTATATTGTTTGGGAAATCAATAATTCCAAATCATTCACACAGCCTGTCCTGGAGAATAGAAAACCCTTCCATCTTTTAGACATAGTGCAGGAAGGGTGTTTGGAGCTCAGGATTCTCAGTCACAAGGGCACAGACTAAGAAGTCCTTTCCCATAAGTTATGGTGTTTGCAGGGCTGCAATCTAATGGATGCACTGGAAACATGAAAGAATCACTGCAAGAGCTAATTTTAAGGAACATAAAGGTGTAGCAGTCCAATACTCCTGAGATTCTATTAAAACACAAGCTACTTCAGTACCTCAGGATTTCTGACATTGTATCAAGAAAACTAGTAATGTAGTAGGAAAACTAATATTATACACCAAGATGATGACAGTACTGTGTTGAAAGAAATTCAAAATCTTATTGAAGCAGTATTACACAAAGCAATACTGCAATGCACTTTTTAGATAAATAAAACACATTGTGATGTTTTTATTAACTTACCCCTGAAGAGTGTACTGTGCCCAGACTAGCAGTATTACACATTCTGACTGAAGATGAATTACGATTTAAAGAATGGGACCTATTCATTGACGATGGACGTGGCATTTGCACTGCAGGTTTGGCTGAAAAGGGACGTTGCTCAGCGGCTTGTGACTGCATAGCGAAGATTGATATTGAACGGGGACAGCTTACAGAACGCCTTATAGGACCTGTGGATGATGTGGAGGGTGAATATGATGGAGTTTTTATATTTTTAATTAAAGGTTTCCAGTGTAATCTGCCTGAAGACAAAGACAATGCAGGATATAATTACTTTCCGTCCATTTACTGTACATTCCTCTGTCATTACTGACTAGAGAACATGTCTATTGGAAATTATACGGTTCTCCAGTAATAAATGCTTTATGCAACCCATAAAAGTACCCATTCCTGCCCCCAAATCAGTCTTCTTCAGTTAGGCTCAAATCCTCTCCCATGTACAATAAATTTGTCAAAGGGTGCATGCATCTTGTGGTTCAGTAAGATGGAATGTGAGCAGAGGATTTGGGGGAAGGGAGTAGGGACTCTGGCTTTTCTGGACAGCAGAACTACACTGATCCTCTACATTTTAGGCCTTCTGCAGCCCATAATAAAAATAAGATTCTGTTACAAAACAATTTTTGGCAGCAGTACCATATGCAAACATAACTACATTGCTATATAATGACAATTTCGATGCAATACTTCTAAACTGTATACTACAAAACACAAATAACATATTGTACAAACCATGTCAGCACTTTAATATTCAATGTTACACTGTCTAGCTATTGTTCTTCTTATTTACCTGGAGAGTGACCCATCTATAAATCTTACCGTCTGCACTTCCTTAGATAGATTTTTTTATTTCCCAACAAAATCATGTTCAACAGAAATTAAAAACAACAACAACGAAGAATAAATTCGATGGCAACTTTGTCAGAAGTAATGAAAACAAAGAGGCGCATACACAACACATCCAATGGTAGCTAATGTTCATCCTTTTCTTTAGTACGTAGTAACCTGGCAGCAAGTCATGCATAGGTTATTTTGATCCAGCTTTTCTATCAAGTTGGAACTGGGTTTTAAAGAAGAAGAATTAAACAAGCTAATTTGTGAATCCAGATGGTCTAGTGCCAAGGTTCAGACGATCAATTTTCAGGCATAAAGACTTTGTCACTGTTAAGTTCTGCAGCACAGGAATATCTTATCTGATTTTTGTGCACATTAGATTTAATCAAAATTATGATCATTCACTTACTGGATCGCTCTAATAATTTATACTTGTTTTCTTCAAGCTCATATGACACTTTCATCTCTTTTTTCTCATTGTGATCTTCCTTTTCAGTTTCCTCCTCCCATTCTGATGTGTTGCTGCTGCTGTCACAGCTACTCTCACTACTGTAGTTCCTCTGTTTTTTTAAGGTCTGTGAACTTTCTGGCATAGAAGACAGGGGCTAATATAAAAAAATAAAATGTATAGTAAATTCCTCCATTGCCCAAAAGGAGCATA